ACTTTCAGAAAGGTCTGAGATCCGTGGTCGATCGGTCGATCTCGGAGAATAGATCGATCCGTCCGAATCATCTCATATATTGAAAATACCTGGGTGTCTGGGTGAACTGGATATATCTCATAAGTTTATACTACGATAACGTACTAACAACCGTATTTTCAAACGGGCCTCTAAAAGGCCTGCAACTGAGGTGCCACGTGTCAGTCACATAGGTAACCTCATCGATCGATACGATTGGGCTCTTGAGTGCCGCCTCTCTATGCCGGTCGCGAGAACCATTGGGTGCGGGTGTGCCAGTTCACACTTTGTCGCACTCGGTGGCACCTGGACCGGAATGCGAGTCGCAACATCCTGGACGTTTACTGCCACATGGTGACGCATGGTGGACAGGTGCCGGTCTACCTGCGACCGCCATAGTCGAGCAACAGAAGAGAAAAAGGGGCCAGTGGTGTCACTCTGTTCTGACGGGGTGGATGAGCACAATCTGGCACTCTGTTGAGCCTGGGTGATTCCGGAGTCAGTGCCGGGAGTTTAGGAACGAACCTGAACTGACGGGTCCAGTTTGTGCCGAAGTCTCTTGACGTTAACCTTGACCACTTTTTCAGAGGTGATGAACGTATCTGACGCTAACATTTTTAGGGCATGGGGCATCTGGTTCGTCTCGAGGATCTGATCCACCAAATCCTTCAAAATCGCAAGATGGAATGCTGTCACTTTCACGAGCATGCATATCTCGTTGGTCACGTCGATCCGTTGCCGAAGTGTGACTTTCAAGTCATCTGAAATGTTTTGCACCGGCGCGGAGTTGAGAATCTTTCGGTCCCGTTTGCTCGTGGTTCTGAGCCGAGTCAATTCGAGCACGACGTGCTTGAAGCTCGTCTGAAGTACCTCTCCGGATTTTTCACTGTCCGATGTGGCTCCCGTTGCTTGTTTGATACTCGTACCTAAATCTTTCAATACATCCGTGACCAAGCCGTTCACTATGATCGTTCTATCACCCTTGATTCGTGCGTCCATCACGTTCTTGGTCGAATTGAAGACTGCGCGAATGGCAGCGCAAAAACGATCGGCCTCCTTATGCGTGATTTCGAGACGGCGAACGAATTGGTCGCGGTTGAGCATGACCACTCGGATAGTCTCGATGAGCCTCTCACAATACTCCCGTAGGTTTGACTTGCGCGAGCAGTGACAACCTGCAGCTTCATGATCCAAGACATCTTCCAATCTCAAGAACGCGGGCTGCAAAGCCATGATACTTTCTCACAAAGAAACTTGGTGTAGCATCCAACTGCATCGAGTGGAGTAGAGGTTAAGGTTCGATCGGAACCAGAACCATCACCAGAGTGCTAGTTTTGTCCGTGTTGAACCTCTCTATGACGAGTTGACCCGAAGGATCGATGGCGAATCTAAACCCATACTGAGTCCCATCGATGTCTCTCGTTATTACCAGATCGCCACCCCTCATCATCCAATATGGCACCGGGCTCGCCTCCGAGGAATTCTGCCATGTGACCGAAAGTGACTGGGGGTCATCGGCATAGCCTGTGCCTCGCAACAGCAAACCCCCTCCATCGATATCGACATTGGATGCATTAGACGAATGACCTAAAGTCACTGCACTATTTGCATTTACGATTAAGTTATTGTTGTAATTAATGGTCGGGGTGACGTACGAGATAGAACCGGTGATTTCCACGTCACCATTCAACACGATCGAACCGGAAGCTCCGGGCCCTCATCACGAGGTCCGTGCTGGTCTCGGCTTGGATCAGGCTCGTGGCCAATGGTGCATTCGATGTGAGAGGGTTGTAAAAGCCACTCGAGATGAGGTTCCCGAGAACATTCAGATCATTTTCCACGATAACCTGTTTGCCGCCGTCTACCGAAAGAGTGAGATCCGACGAAGTTCCATCGTCGTTCGAACCAGCCTTCAGTTGGTTCCCGATAAACTTTTTGGTCCTGACAGTTCCGTTGCGCGCGCCGCTCATAATAGGCTGATTTACACTTCGGCAAATAAACATAGGACCATAGGCCATGGTGAGAACGACTATTGAATCGTAAACACGTTGAAGTTCTTGCAAGCCCTCGGTCCAGAGGGTGAGCTTCCCCTCATTTGTGGGGCCGCACCACTTTGCCATGATGGAATCTCTTCTTTAGACGCTAATCCCTCATCCGTGCCATATTCGTCACCGAACGCCGTGTTAAAAGCAGGGTGGAGAAAAGGCTGATATTTTTCACAAGGTGCGGCTGGTAGACTAGTTATCGTATTCAACGGTTGTACATCATCACGCATACTTTGTCGCGGATGCAATGATCCTCTATATCGTTCGTGGAATTGAGTGGACGGATGTGGCAATAATCGTTGGTCCTCATTCCACGAGGAGATTGCATTTTGTCTCACGGATGGTGACGAATTCGCGAGAGGATACGCACCTCCTACACTGCGACGGTAGATCTCATCCATGATATATTCCGTCGTGATCCCATCGAGAAAGCTTTTCATTTGATCCTTGTAGAATACTACTACGAGAGTAGTGACGTGCATGACCAGCAAGCACACGATGAGAACAACCACAAAGAGTGGCCCATTCATGGCACTAGCGCGATGGAACTTGCAGTATTACTTTGAAAAATAATTCGTGACATTTATCTGTAGGAGCGAAAGTTGGCTCGACTTCGACCCACGACGATCTTGACTCCTTGAAGAGGTAATACATCGATCCCTACCCGCTCTTTATCTTGAGACCGCCGTCTACGTCCAGCTACATCCTCGGAACGGATCAAACCGCCACTCTCCCGTGTAAAAATGTTACTCAACAAGAACGACCATAGCCCGAACATCTGAGTGAGGCTTTGACACCCGGTCAGGATCACATTTCCACTAGCGAACACGAGAGCCGTTGCACCCTTGTATCTGACTTTTAGACCGGCGTATGTGACTGGGTCGTATTGCATACTCAAACCGTTTGTAGCTTCTTTGGAACCCAAGCCGGAGTCAGCTACGAATTCCAAGAGTTTGTACGGCATCAACGTCGACGATTCGCCTTCGTACAAGACCCGCATGGTGGAGTTGATCATGACCGGCCTCGCGACTCCGATAGCGGCACTGGTTCCGGATGCCACATTTAGCCCATTGGATGACGTCAGGCCACTCACGAAAGTGGAAGTCCCAGAAGTGACCACTAGGCCATTGGAGGACGTGATTCAGCAAGACGAGGTCAAGAGCTTTGTAGCGCCTTCTTTGAGATGATGGCGGCACCCTGCCTCCAAAGCGGCGCACGCTTACAGCGGTGGTGGACAGAATGAGTAGGACTTACATTTGCACCTCTGTTTTCAGCCATCAGCAGTGTACTTCTAGGGCCCACTTGCCTTCCGCAAAGGGAGTCCTGATCCTTGAACCTTAGATCCTCACTCTCTGTGACTCACACCAAAATGAATTCTCAAGGTGACAAGCACATGCAGACCCTTACGACCACCTTCGTGCCCGGCCCTCATCGCCCCCTCTTACACAATCCCCACCCCCACTGGGACTACGCCGCAGCTCTCAAGAGCGTCTACGCAAACTTTCCTGTGCACTGCAAGCTGTTACAGAGTAGAGGGGGCTACTCTTCTGCGTTGGGCGCAGCTTATGAGTGGCTGAGAGACTGTAAAAGCAGCAACGGGGGGCTCCAGTATTTCTTAGACAAGGGAGGCTGCGAGACGGCTTTAGAAGTGACCCATCAGAATGCTCTGCTTGACCAGATTGTGGCGCTGCGGAACGACAAAGAAGAGTTAACGGCCGAGGTTGATGAAGTGAAGAAGAAGTACGTGGCGGAAGTAGAGGGGCTGAAAAGAGGGCATCAGAGGGAGTTAGATGAGGTGAACAGGGTGAAGGACGAACAGGTGAATGAGCGGACGAAGATCGAGCAGCAGCGGAATGCAATCCAGCGGAAACTGACCGAAGCAAGGTCCGAAGTGGAGAGGGTTCGTGGGTCAAGGAATCTCGATCAAGAGAAACGAGAGAAGACGATTAGTGCAAACCCGCAAGCCTTTCAAGGCGGGGGCGAAGATTCCCAGAAGGGTCTGCAAAGGGAAGGAACTCGGGCGTCTCTGAAGAGGCGGAGAAAGGAAGGGGCACAAAAAGGGAAAACGGAAGTCAGAGGGTCGGAAGGAAACATGGGGGAATCAAAAGCGGAAGGGGCAGAGAAGAGACCGGAACGGAAGGAAGCAGACAACGGGCCGTCAGCGGAACCCCAACAGGTGAGGTTTTCT